ATGCTCTTCTAATTCTGAAATTCACTTTTGAAATTTAAATCACAGAAAGAAAGAGAAAGAAAATAAAACAAACAAAGCATTTTTTTAATCTGGTAATGCAAAAAAAATCATTATTTTGCATGCTGCAAATATAGAAATAAATATTAAAACTTTTCCTCATTTAAACTGCATTTGGAATATCCTACACCATTAGTTAAAATGACAGAAGAATACAGCTACCTGAAGCCTATGTAAAGAATCTCTCTTTAACAGGCTTTTAAAGATTGAAGCCAGAGCATCTAAAAAGCACATCCCTGAATAATTTAAGATTGCTGGCATCTACATTGAAAGCACCCCTTTACTAAACCTGGAGGAACAAAAAAAAAAAAAAAAAAAGAGGTAAGAGAAAGAATAAAGGTCATGAAAGATCAGTGACAAAATCACTACAAAAAAAAAAAGTATTTTTCCTATCCTAAAGTTTAATCAGACATGGGGAGGCATGGATTTTTACAGCCAGCAAGAGATGTGGGCTAACAGCAACATTTACCCCTTGGCAGTGTTAAGTTAAGGCTGTGATGATCTCGGAAACAATACAGGAACAAAATAAACGAGAAGGAAGGAAACTGATCAAGAAGGTGAAGCACAAGACTAATCCTCATTATTAGAAACTCCATAACAAATAAAAGCCAAAATCTAGAATTTATAATTAATTTTAAATACATAACTGACATTTCAGGCCAAAAGAAAAAAAAAAAAAAAAGAAAAAGAAAAATCTGAAAAAGTAGATCCATGCAAATACCTGTTATTAAAAAAATAAACCATGATTATACTATTAAGACACCAGGCAATCTAGTTTAGTGCAGAGTAAATCCCCATTTATAACCAACTGTACCTAGGTCGCATTACAATTCAGTGTTTTGTTGACAATACCAAGTTTTCCTTGCCAACTACATCTTTTAAACATCAGCAAATCCTACCTACTTCCTCTTGTGTCTGTCACAGAAACCATCCAAACAATGGGAGCAAGTAATCTTCACCTCAACAGCTATTGACTTGGAGCAAACTGAACACTTTATTCATTTTTGCTCCTGGAGTGGAAAGTCCTTGCTGTTCTACAGTATCTGAAAGCCCTGCCACTGATTACAACCAGTTCAGGATCTGGCTCCTCCTCAGTATATGAAAATGGACTTGAAACAATAGGAAACCTTATCTGAGGAAGTTAACACAGGTCACCCTTCTCCAAATGTGAATGCTGACTTTATATGGAAGGAAAAACAGCTTAATTAGGTTTTATGAATTGGAAAACAGTTAGGAAAAAGTATCACATACAGAACGTTGTTTAAAAAAAAACCACCCCAATACATTCACCTTTTTAGAGGAAACAGATTTTTTACATCTCTGCTTTACACCACTTTTCATGTTATTGTTAAAGAATAGTCATTAGGAAGTTACTTGAATGTTCAGCAAACAAGTGAACTTCATTATAGAGAGATTCAAAAAGAGGCAAAACTAACCTGCCTAAAACAGAATTTTTGAGTAAAAGCATATAGAAGTGATCCTTCACTCCTTCTGGGGAATTTTAATTTCTTGCAAGAATGGAAATGAAAAAGTAAGAAAATTACACTATTTAATATGCAATGCAATATTTTTCCAGTACAACTTCAAACAAAAAAAATATTTTTATACATATTTTTTTCTCTTAGAACTCAAGAATTTCGGTGCTCACAGAAAGGCACAAGACATCAAACTGTGTTTTGTTTTTCCAATTTCAGCCAAGAAGCTAGTTGTTATCTACTTTAAATTCCACTCACTCTAAACAAAATTACAAAAAGGTTCTTTGTGACAGGTATGCCAAGTTAAAAAATATTTAATAAAAAGCTAAGAGAAGATGGGGCTTTGACGACAAAAAAGTAAGGTTTCTAAGTGCAGGCATTACTAAGATTCTTATGGTAGAAAGGGCCTCTTTCCAGAAGAAATAAAGGAGTAACAAAATAGATTTTACTTTTTAAACAGGTAAACTGAAGATTAAAGCTTGACATGCTGGATCCTTAACTAATAGAAATATGCGTAATTCCAATAACGTCAATAATACCACATGAAGTTATGCTAGCTGTTGATCTCACTCATAATATCTAAAGCCCACACCTAACTATAAATACACGTATTATGTTTGCTTTTCAAAAACTGATTGAAGTTTAATAGCAACTCATAATTGAAATATTCATGGTCTCAAGCTAGCTTTGAAGTTAAATCCCTGAGTGGATAAAGTGGACTGTATATCTAATCTAAACTAAATGTTTCCCCTAGTTACTAATACCAGTGCAGTTTCACTAGTTAAAATCATTATTACAGAAAATAAACGCAAGAGCCACAGCACTTTAAGGGGCATTTAATCCTGATCAGTGCTAGGACATAGCAGATGATCTTGGCAATATCAGTTCCTCCACTACCTTCCACATCTTGCTTCAAGAGCTGACTTCTCCAAATCACCAAGCTAGTAATTTCTAGGCGAGAAAATTTTAACCACATTGTTCCAGAACTGCCACTGTTACCGAAGCTTCTTAACTCTCCTTTTAATGTTTCAGTTTAACATTATAACTTTCAATTTAACAGCACAAATCTGTCTTGGCTTTAAAGCCCCTTTCTCAAGCAATGAAGCTAGAAATAAAATGTCATTATTTTTTGTACCTGGACCGCAGATTGTAACAGTTTCACTGGAACACTTCCGTTTTCTTTACACACTCTGCACGTCACATACACACTCCTATCTATACACAGCTCCAAAAACGAAATTTCTGTCGCAAAGCACAGCTTAGTTTAGATGCCTTTGAACTAAAGTGGCTGTGACCCCCTTCATCGGTTTACACTTCTGTTCTTCCTCATTTTTGGCTCAGTGAAATGTACTAAACACTAAATCTATGAAAGCTTGTCCATTCTCTCCCAAGTAAAAAATAAAAATTAAAATTAAAATAAATAAAACAAAATAAATTTAGGTAGATTTTTTTTTAAAAAGAAGTCGAGTGCTTCTGCCAGACTGCTGCCAGTAACGGGCTCAGTACTGCACAGTTATAGACTATATAGAGCAAGTCATTATAATAAAGTTTGAAGGCAGGCTTGGATACTAGAGAAAACAGTCACAATTGTGCTACTTCTGCAACAGTAATTTCCCCATGGCTTTGGTTATGTTGATCTTCATTCCTGTTTTGCAGAGCCCACAGCTACATACATTATATTCAAGCATATGTCTGAAACTCCATAACCTTTGCCAGAGTAACTCTCCAGGAAGCGCTCCTGACCTTTACTTAAGATAAAGAAACCAACTGAAATGAAGAAATAAATGTTCCTTTGATAATACTTCGTAAGCTGTGGCTAAGGAACTTTGAAACACAACAGCATTAATAAAATAGCCATATTAGGAGGATTTCTTTATCACTAAAAGTAGTGGCCAGCTTCAATGGGGCTTTTCATTCACAGTCCACAAATTATTTTCCAAGAATCATTGACTTGTTGTATAACGATAATTGTGGGTTAATAGAAGCCCCAGTTGAACTTTGTACTCTTAAACAAAGGTATATGCATGAATGACTATATTTGGAAGCAGATCCATATGTAAAGTAACATATCTGATTTTCAATTTATGGATGGTTTTGTCTTTCATATTTTAATTTAATTTTAAAAAAAGGTCTTTGAAGACAGAAGTAAAAAAAAAACAACCTCTGTTATAAAAGGCAATTTTCAAAGTTTAAAAGTGACCATGATTTTGTTGGTTAACATATGTACAAGAACTTTGAGAGAAAAACTAATCTGAATTGTTGCTGTGCATGGATACTATCCTGCACAGCAACAGTTCCAGGGGATTAAAAAAAGAGTGTAGGCTTTTTTTTTGCCTTACAAAATGCTGTTATGAATACTCTCAATAAATTCTACTTAAAACACCTTTTTAATAACTAGAAAAAAATAATCTAAAAGATTTATAGGAAAATTCAGTAAGTGTGAATTTGTTTTTTGGGTTAAAGACTATTTTAATGCAATTCTTCCTAATCTCTCTATATTAATCTTAATATTTCAGTACATGAATGCCGTGTTTAACAGCTATCTTGTTTAGTAAACTGCAGTAATTCACTCCAATAGGATAAACTATTTAGTTATTTAGCAAAATGGAAAAGCTACCATGTGCTCTGCTACAATCAGCAGACACTGTTTAGAAGAAGCCTCTAATGACAGGGAAAAGCCTTGCCATGAAGAAGAAAACTGCATAAAGAAGCTCCAAGAAGTCTGTGACTGTTAGATGTTCCTCATGCTATGTCCTTGCAATCACTCAATTCCAGACAACAGCGGGTACAGAAAAAGGGAGCCAGCATTTAACAGAATAGGAGCATTTTAATAGGGAAAGGCCAGACTTAAGGGGTACAGGCTGATAAAAATAAGTTTAGGCTCTTGTTAATAAAGCAGAAAACAATGCGAAGCACCCAGCTTAACATAACTCCTGTTTGCACCAATTAACTCAAAGGAAAATATTATTTGAGCAAGAAAATGCCACATGCTAAGACAACTTAAAAATGCTTCAGTTGTGGCTGCACTTGATTGTTTATATGGAGAATTTTATTTATTTATTAGTTCACAAAATGTGTTGAGCAGCCTGACTTCTGCTCAGCAGAGATGCATCCTATGTCCCACAGAATCTGACACGTACTGGCTAAAAAGCTCCTCTGCACACTCTACAGACAAAGAAACTCCTTCCACCTCCACAACCTAAGTTTCTCCATGCTTCCCTGGGGCTGTGGGTGGAAATCACAGGAAAGGGCCCAGTGCTCAAGGTTCTACCTTCAGCCCAAACAAGTTATTTTGGCTGCACATCAAAATGCCACTTGCTTTATCTACTCATCACACTGATGTCACTGATCAGCAAAAGGAACTATCACATGACCACAGATGACAAAATAAATAACAAATATGAAGACACAGATATAAATATACAAATATACATATTTTAAGAAAGTGATGATTTGTTGTATACTTACAACTTTCAGCCTGATAGTCTGGCACAAACTGCTCGTCATTGTCAGGTACCTGAGCTGAAGAAAGGAAAACAAAAACAAAACAAAAAACAAGAAACAAGAATTAAAAGAAGCCATTAAAGCGTAAATAAAGACTCTTGTGCTTAATTTAAAGCACAGTCAAATTTTAAATTGTAATTTTTTGTTTCTTCATTGTTGAGTATGAAAATCAGGCAAGCGCATCATTTTAATATCAGATGAACCCTGGGGTGAAGCTGTGTGGTGCAGGGTGAGTCCACAGAAGCCCCAGCACAGGGCAATGGGAATGGGAGGACATGGGGGCTCACTGGCCCTGCCTCACTCCCTGTACCACGGTCTGGACCTACCATGCCCCTGGCAAAACTCATTAGTGCCCATTTTCAAAATATCTGCACATAAGTCCACATAAACCAAATCTCGCTGATTAAAACTAATTCTTCTTTAACCTGAAACTACCACACCTTCAGCTTACTTAGAAGTGATTCCAATTGTTCGTGGCAGTCAGCCAATACAGTAGGGATTTTCTGTTATTGTTTTAAATATTCAAAAATAACTATATTACCAGACCACAGAATTCCTGGTTTCATGACAACATTTCAGACATCGAAAAAGATTTACTTAAAGTAAAAATCACAATTAATATCCATTTGCCTTTTGTAAGATTGTCTTTGCTTTTAGGAAACTTCCATCACAAACCTGAGCTATTAAATACAATCATTTCACGGTCTGCTGATAGATAATTTTGCTCCTCTGGTACCACATTTCCTTTCCGTTGTATATCTAAGACATTAGCCATCTCTCAAACTGCGTGGTAAACTCATTTAAACCATTTAAGCTGAAATAGCACTAAACGTTTATTATAGATGAATACATTCAAATAACTGCAGAACATTACACAGAGAAACGGCGTCCTCGGAGCATGACTGCTTCTGGTACATGGCGAGAGAGATTCAGCTTATCTTCTCTAACTTTGTCATCTTTTCCTCAGCATACACGCTAACTGGAATCGCCACAGCAAAGTTGCATAAAATTATTGTTTAAAAATACTTTCCCCAGTTCTTGTCCAAAGACAAGCAAATAATTCACATGATCTTAATTAAAAGTTAACATCTGCCGTGATCTGGTTACCGAACAAGATTTGAAAGGTAAATGCTGCTTATATAATCACTTATCAAAACTGTGACTATCAAATGTTCTCAAATACATTGAATGATAAAATGTGACTTTAATGCCCTTCAGAACATTTTCTAGTATAGGAAGTGCATATTCCCCATTATATATGTGCAATTTCTACTAGTTTTAATATAATTTGTTTGAATTAAAAATATACATTTAATTAAAATTACTCACAATTATTTTGAATGTGCACTACAGTGCTCTTCATGGACCAGATCTCCACTCCTTTACTCAGGAAATATTTCTAATGACTTAACTGGAAGTTTTTTTTCCTGGGTAAAGAGTTCAGAATCAGGCTCATAATACTGAAAAATTATTTGCTCTGAGTTTTAAAATAAATTTCAAATCCTGCTGTCTTAACTGCAGCAAATACCCCTTAAAACAAATGACTTTGGAAATGTATAAATGCAGATTTGAAAAGAAGTATGAGTTGGATAAATACACTAAGTGTAATTAGCCTTACTTTGATAAAAAAAGCATAGCCACTATTGCTTTGTTGTTTGGGTTTCTAATTAAAAAAAATACCGAACAAAATCAAACCTGACAGTAACCCATCCTTTTAGAATAAACAAGTACCTCTGAGGACATATTGGCTCCTCAAAGTTTGAAGCTGTATAAAACACTACTGAAAAATATTTTCAGTCTGTTGATGCATCCAATTTCTCTTTCTTCCAGAGAAACCACAAAAGTTTTACCAAGAATGAACTCAGGGACAGGGTGAGCCCAAATACTAACACTCCGCAATTTCTGACATTTCAGAAATTGACTACACATGAATGTTCGGCATTTCCCTTACAAAAATGCCAACTATTTGACTGTCACAGAAAAATCTGATTATGAAATCAAGGTCTTCTGCTTAAAAATCAGCTCCTAAGATTTCTTATACTTCCACTTGTTTTGGAAGCATCTGCGAGCACATTCAGAGTTAACGTAATTGAGTCAAGTAACTTCTTGTTTAGAAGATACATCCCACACATTTTTCTTAAGTCACTTATCATTTTCAAACGCAGCAAGGAGGCTAGCAGAATTCATTTTTTTAACATGCACCTGCATTTTATATTTACATGTATATGTAGAAATATATATATAAATTTGTGAATCTAGGATATCTTTAAAAGCCTCAAAGAAAACAAAACCCCCTTCTGTTTAAATAAAGAGGCTACATTTAGTGGTTGCAGAACAGGGATAGAAATCTCATATAACTTTCCAGAGAGCATCCTCTGTGCACTGGACACCTTCACCAGTGCTTCATTCTGGTTTTATCAGTTTAATTTGACTTAGTCCAGAAAAAATCTGTTGTATAGATTTATGTATATACCAGTAAGGAAGGTCCTTTTTTTTTCCAGCCATAAAGTAAGAAAAAAATAAAATATATCTGGTTGAAGTGTCATGGAAACCACTACATTACTGCCATTACCCCTGATTTGCTCTTGTTTACGGAATAAACAAGAATAATGTACTTCATTCATGGATCCCCAAAATTTATGAGGGCATATTTAATAGAGACAGAGCACATCACTTTATCAGTACTCTAGAAACAGGTGGAGACTATGCTGTCAAAATTTAGTTTAAATGCAATATTAACATAGCCTTAAAAGCCTCTGTAGAGAAAGGAACACAGCAAGTAAAGAAGTGTTTAAAACCCTGCTAAATATAAACAAAACAAATAACAGCATCCAAAACATTCAAACAAGGAACATGCATTTCCAACTGGATTGTAAATTTAGCAGCATCAGTACCTTACAAAAGAGCCCACAAGACTATACAGAGAAATTAAAAGGACCTGCTAACTGGTGGAAAGGAGAACTTAAATTGTTTCTTCACTTAATCTGGTATTATTCTTAGACAAGCAGAACTGAAACTTGCACATGATCATACTGCTGAAATGCAAGCACTCATTGTCATAGAGACTCCTTCCACCAGCATCTCGCTGTGAGATGCTGTATCATTGGGATACATCATCCCATTGCTCAAGCAGAAGAGGGCTTTTGTACCTGGATTTTGGATAACTACAGGTAGATTTTGCAGCAAATTAAATAGACAGGTAAAGACACTTTGACATGAATATCTGAAAGGAAAATGTAACTTGCAGTGTCACAACTGTCTACACATTTATATACATAGGCCATTCATTTCCTCTTTTATTCACAAATACTGCAACTTAGCAAAGCTGCCATAAAAGCTTCTGTTAACATACAAAAGACACAATGCATAAATCACCAAAACCTTTTTTTTTAACTTTGCCATTCAGAGGGAAATTGAAAAAAGATATCTGAAATGATCCCCCATCTGAATGAGAACATTTCCTTGAGCTACTTAATTATGGAGGTTTGAGAAGGCAAGTATATTCCGAAAGACTAATAAAAGGTTTTGAAGGATATTAAGCACGTGGCTTTTACTGCTTATAGCAGAAGCAGCTACATTAGTTCATTCCACATTCAGAGCCATCAAGTCTCAGACTCCTGAAGCAGACAACATCTGCAGCATAAACTATCCAAGTCAGCCTAGAATATTACCAAAAGTTGGGGTTTTTTTTCTTCTGACTATAGCTATAATGTCTCAAGAGGATTTAGAAAGCATGCAGAAACGTTAATGATGATCTTGAAGATGTTATCAGTTTAGGTTTTACAGTTTCACTACCTACTGAGCTATGCAAACATTCACAGCACAAAAATACTTAATACTTGTTTGTAGTTTTTAGAGCTTTAAACACTCTTTGAAAGGCTGAACTGACGGCTCATTTTGCAAAGGGAAAGAATTTGGTGGAAAAAAAAAGTTTAGAACTCGGGCCAGTTAGCTTGCTTTCATTGCAAGTAAACAAAAAGTCCCCATTAACAAGCATCCAGGACAAAAGGAGTTAATATTTAATTAAAACCAGCTCTATCCACTGTAACAATGACCTGGAGCCAAACAAGGCAGAAGATGTATGAGTCATTCTTTCTGCCAGTGAATGAGACAGCTGATCTCCGAAGCAATTCCTCAAGACAAGCAGTCAGAACTGGAGTTCTGCCTCCATTCACAAAAACACAGTCCAGCATGAACCATGTGGCCCCAACCACAAGCTTTTCATGTCACACCCTTCCAGAAAGCTACAGCAAAGTAAACTTGAACTTTAGGCATAAACACAGTGATTTCACTGCTTTGTCTCAAGATGCAGCACAGACCTGCTGAGGAACGTTAAATAAATGAAAAGTTAAGCAAACTATAAAGGGCTTAAACTTAACTCTTCCTTCTCCCACTCACAAACTGCTTCCAAAAGCTCAGCTGCACTCCAGAGAAAGGTGTTCCTATTAAAAAAACCCTGGAAACTGTCCAGAAAAACAAGAAGCTGAAAATGCTTCACTTAAAACTTTATTTTGGGTAGCAGAACACTTCCTGCGGTACTGTGTGCTCTGACCTCATGCTTCACTTTTAGAGCTAAGAGCAATTAGTTTTAAAATATCCATCATTTATTCAAAGTGGCAAAAGAAATTGAAATTGACAGGAAATTCTATATGAGAAGTAGTATTTTGGCCTCAGCTAAAATAAGATTTCGGGCCTCAACAGTAATGGATCTATTGAGTTTTCTTTGATTCATTGTCATTTCTGAATATCTGAAAGATTGGCTAAATTGTAAGTATTCCTACAAGAGTTGGGGTGGGGGGGTGTTGGTTGGTGGCTGTTCTTTTTCCACAGGAACAACTGTTTCTAACAAAGAAGAAGCATTAGGAAGGCAAAACAGTGATAAATTTCAAGATGGTAAAAAATATTATTTCCCATAAGAGCTGGATTTGCTGTCAAAACAACCTCAAACCCTTTTTACATAACGTGAGATGCTCTGACTAATAAACTTAAATGCACTTCAAAACTAGCTCCAGATCTCAAAATTCTTCCTTATGTGAATAATCCCTAGGAATATGAAGATGGGTTCACAGAATCTGTTCTTCATTTGCTGTTATACTAAAATGTGAAAAAAAATTAGCTTTAAAAGGAGTACTCACATTTAATATTTTGCCTCATGGCTAGCAAACCCCTCTATGCTTTTGAAAAGTATGATTTTGAGCAAAATCATTTACTTTTCTAGCAAACAAGTAAAACGTGAAAAAGTTTATTATTACACAAGACTTTCAGATTTATGGATTTTTGATGGGTTTTTTTTTATTTTTTTAAATAACATCGCTTTCCCTCCCATTTTACCTAATCTAACCTTTTAAATCTAACTAATCTTTTTTTTATGCAGATATTTATGATCATGATTTGTGAGTATTAGAAAATCAAATCTATCAGATCACTAGAGTCCACAAAAAAAAAAAAAAAGAAGATATTCTCTGCACTACAAACTGAAAGTGTTTTCACTGCTTTTAAGAGTGTTTGTTCCTGTTAGGCAGATTTCAGTCATGGAGGTATTAAATTACTATTTCTTGACTCCTATTGCTCCTATAAAATGTGGATAGTTCTTGAATGTGGCTACGTGCCATCTGCCTTACACTGGCTAAATTTTACAACTTTTTGGCAGAAAAAAAGCTAGTTAGCCAATTAAACAAAGCCACTCTAACTAGACTAATATTTGAAGATCCAGTACTCTCTTTTATTAAAAGCAATTCTTCAAGACCTAGAAACTATTCCGTTTCACACCTCCTCATTCAAGAAATAAACTACAAGTCAACACTCACTTAGAAATCACTGCAACACTGGTGGGACCTTCACATTAGGAGAACAGAGGGAAGAAAGTTATTTCCTCAAGCTCATTCCAAAGCTGGCCGATAATTATTTGAGAGGAATGACTTACTTTCAGCTACTAAGAAGCGGCTTCTGAATACCAGTAGCCTGAAGAAGCCATCCACTCAATTTAGCTGAGTTGAGGTAGAGGCACGATCCCGTTACCTGTAGCTGTTATTCCAAACCACTTTTTGTTTACTTAATCTTTTTGTATGTTTTTCAAATCACACAAAGAATGTTGTTTGTGGGGTTTTTTTAGTATATTACTATTTGAGAAGCTTATTATCTATTGCTCTGAGAAATAGATCTAATGCATAAATTTATTATTTGTCTTTGCTTGGGATACCTTTTATGTATCTGGAACAAGCTGTAGGAGAAATTAGTATCTAAATAATATTTTTTCAAAATCTGAGGGTTTTTTTGTTAATCTACTATTCCCCAAAACCAAATGATTTCTCGACAGAAAGGAGACATTCACTCACTAACAATTTGTTCTCTCTTCATTTTGTTCCACCATAAGTAGGAAGAGCTACCACGACAAGATAACATTAGATTAATATTTTAACCACCTTTTTCAAATAATTGCTACCTGACAGAATCAATCTGATTCCAAATATATGGAATCGATAAAGTCATTTTATAGTATTATCATGCCAAAATGTTGCCACTGAGTCATTTAAATATAACATAAAAGATAAAATCCAAATAATATTTGTCTTGGTTAGCAAGAGGCAACTTTAACTATTTCAAGGTTGAAAAAATTATTAAAGGCTTCCCATTTTCAATTTCTAGCATGGGAAAACTGTTATACTCTACCTTCTGTCTTACCTAACAGTTGACACAAGGCAACCTTATTCAGAGTAAGTTTTACATCAAAATAATTCAGGGTCTTTCTTACATACATAATTCTATACAGAGTAAGAAGCAAAACTCATTTCCATAAAAATCTACTATGGAGGTAGTGGAATATATTTGTAAGCTCTCTGTAAGTAGTATTCAGCTTGTTAATTATGTAGTAATAAAATATTAAACAGGTTACTGAATTGTTTACATTTGGATTAATACTTTAATGCAAGTGAGCCTCCCACCATTTCCAAGAGGAAAATAATACATTTCTTTTCTGTTTACTTGTTTACCACCAACTTGTCACAGGTGACACTAACTGTAAAAATCTTCAGGCTAAAGTACGTGATGCAGTAAGGACAGCTTCACGAAAAGCAAAACAAAGAAAAATCCATAAGGATTATTTTTGTGTGTCATAAAATGCAACTCACTTTCTTCTCCTAACTAATAAGTAGGTTTTTGACCTGGTTACTCCCCAGTGGGGATCTGAACTAGTGGGAGAAACCTGGTCAGCTGCCACTGCTTTTCTTGAAAAGGGTCAAGATGTTTTAAAATTTCATGGTCATTTCCCTGGCTCCAGAGCATTAAGAAAAGAAATATGTAAACAGTACTGATGCTGCCAAATTGGCAGACTTCTAGCCTAGGAAGGTCCAGAAGAACATAAATGGACACATCTAGCAATGGGTAAACAAGTCTGATTTCAAAATCTGTTTCCTGGCTAAACTCATCCATATAGACATTTGAGCAGAGCTACAATGTCCTCACACACTGGTATTTTATAAAGACTAACAGAAGTTGTTAAGTTGCGGTTTTTTCATAAAACTTTGGCATCAAGATAATAGCTCAATATTTAGTGTTGTCACCTTAACTTTTTATTTCAGTTTTAGTTTAGCCTTCAGAAAACTGTGCAAAGTTTGAGGCTCATGAAACAGCTCAAACCATGGCATGGCCCGAAACAGAGATTTCTTAAAGTATTTCTAGAGCATTGAAAAACCTGCAATATTAAGTTGCAATATACTGTGGACAAATAGCATTACTTTGCTTTATTACTTTCTGCTAGGTAAAAAGTAACGGGTTTTTTTCCATTTTTCAATATTTCACAGATTATTTTATCTGCCTTTATAAAGGTTATTCAACCCAGCTGACATGGGACTAGACACCTTCTCTCTCAAAACCTATCTAAATTTATTCAGTAAAATACACTCTGATACAGAGGTAAAAAGACTCTCAAACAAGCTATTCAAATCTAAAATAAGCAGTGCCTTCAGAATAAAAACTGCTATTACATTAATTTACCTATGGAAATTATCAAGTTAGTTTTAAATTCTGCATTATTTTTCAAACTTCCATTATTATCTGGACATGCATTATGAATCTGCCTGTATTTATTTAGACTTAAGACTGAAGAAATTTAATCATTTTTCAGACACAAAACCATCCATACTAGTGAAAAAATCAAACTGAAAGTTAACCTTTGAATTAAAAATTAGTATCTTTTGAATAGCATTTTAACATGTTTCTGATTTGCTAACATGAATGAGATGATACAATATAAAGAGTTCCTTAGGAAAATTACCACAGGGAGAGAGCTACAGTTGCATCTGACCATTATACTACAAAAAAGATCTTAGTACAGGACATCCTGTTTTCAATTATTAGGAAAGAATTGTATTAGTTCATAAAAATATATCCTCTCTTCCATTAATTTCAGGAGGGGTTTTTGATTATGAACAGAATAATCCCATATTAAAACTAATACTAACAGAATAAAAATGTCATCAAAATAAACAATACCTCACAACTAACTTACAGATAAAGAAACTACACAAAAAGCTGTTAAAACAGAATCAGGGCATAAGCAAGTAGTCATCAGCAATATTCCCCTTTCTATAAACACCAACAGCAAGAATTTCACCTCAACATCTCTCCTTTAAAACAAAAACAAAACAAAAAACAGAACAACAACAACAAAAAAACCCCACAGAACATCTCTTCTATAAACAGCTGTGCCTAGTTCTATACAAGAAAAAAAATTAAACATATGTGAATACTCACATTCATTTAAATCAGGATGAATCTGGAGAGATTATTTTAACTTGCATCAAATTTATGTCTATTTCAGATGCAGAAGTTTACATTTAAAATTGACCAGAAATATTAAGAACAGATAATGCACAAAAATCTTTATGCTTCAAATAAATAGTACTGCAAATATCAAAGAGAAAAAAAAAACAGAAAATGTTGCTGAAAACAAATAGACTTGAACAAGCAAAAAGATACCTTGCAACTTGTTAAAGTTCTCCTCATGCAGCAGCACATTTTTGTTACTGTTAAATGAATCTCTCAACTATTCGAAATTCAGATTTGTACATTATTGTTCTTAAACCCTTCACTAGAATGTGCTCTGCAAGATTATTTGAAATACTTAAAAGAACATGCATGTGTAAAACAGACCGATGTTAGTTTTCTAATCACCCGGTACAGAAACTCACGACTACAAACACAAAGACAAAAATAACATGCAAAATATTTAAAGGTTTCTGGAAAAAAAAAATAAAAAAGAAAGAAAGAAAAAGTACTGGTTAAGTATTTCATACACACCTAATGTTCTGTGTTGTGAACAAGGTGGAAAGAAGACACTTGCACTTAAATCTTGAAGCATCCCGTCCCGATGAACCCAGAGAAACTAATTTCTGCCATCAGAAAAGTACTCCACCAGAACACCAAATAATTATATGTGCTGCTGAAAAGGAAACAGCAAGCCCAGTTCTGGCTGTATGTAGTCTCTCGAGGTACAATAATATAAACCTGATCAATTGCAATTAAAATCTGAACAGAGGCTTAGAACTTGAAGTCTTGGTGCATTAGTTCTTGCCAAAAGCAGATGTGATTGTGAGCTGGAAGCAATTTCTCCTGGTAATTTGTGATGACACTGGGTAGAGCAGCCCCAGAGTCCCCAAAGACAAACTCATCAGAGGCTCTAATGTATGCATGACACATGAGGTGGCTCTTTTAGAGCTCAATTAATTGGGCTGAACATTAAGACAGCAAGTTCAGGACTTTTTTTTCCCTCTCCAGAGTTGTTTTTCCTCTTTTTACAAGCAGTTTTTTCCCTTACCTTCTGCAAGCCATGTCTCCTGTAATTGGCTCAGATCTTGAAAGAGTTCTGTAAAAAGATAAAGACATGGATAAAATCTTATCTCTTCACAAGATTAAAACATGTTCAAAAATATATTTTTCCTTAAGAACAACATACATTAATTCTGTTTTGGCAGTCAAATGTACAGAAAAAGCAGGCATTCTGAGGCACCAGTTACTGATTTTTCTACACCTATTAATAAAAACACAAGCACTTACTTACAAACAATAACCAGAATCTTAACAGAGCTCTGTAGTATAAAAGGCTCATTCAGCAACACACAGAAAAGTTAAAAATAATAATATTTCTTACAGGTGAACTATTTCTTCTTATACAACTCAGGCCTCCTCCTGTAATATCTGCCCCAGATAAAGCTTGCTTGGACTTCCACAGTTCTGCCTGAGCAATAACTGAGTATTTTAATAGCAGGGTCATAACTATCATATAAAA